GCATGGTCGATTCTGCCTCCTTCAACGAACAGGAAAAAGCCATTTGGGTTCTTCTGAAGAATCTTTATGGCAGCTTGTGTGTATCTCATCAGACTGGGTTCATCCGCGCTTTTCTCGTCCGTATAGGGCATGTGATCGTCATAGGGTAGGCCTGAAAGGAAATTACACAAGGCTTTTAAGATGTAAGTAGTCCCTTCGAAAACCTGAGAACTGTTTAGTAACCTTGAGCAGACAGAGCAAAGGAATGAAAAAAGTCACTTTTGACAGTAGTCACTTACACAGCAGGTAGTCAGTATCACTCAAGTCCGCAAGGTTGAAGTCTTGAGGTGAATTGATATATTTGTACTTGTGACCTGCCTTTTCATGATAATTCATCCACTCGTCGACCAGAGTTCTGTTGTCCAGACGCGTTCCCTTTTTTCCACGTTGGTTGGGGATAAGTGTGCCATTTGGATAAAAGTTCTTTGCACCGCCGCCAATCATGACGTTGATTTCACGGTTTTCGACTGCCAACTGACAAGCTAAGTCTTGGCACTTCATTTTTGTATATTCCTCTCCGCAAACGTCCTTAAGGTTTCTAAAAAAGCACCGACAGCAGTTTCAACCACCGATAATCCGTTAAGGTCTTCTTGGCCCATTAAAAGACGCAGCTTATTTTTCGTTATTGCTAAAAATATACGAATGTCTCTCACTTTTCTATCCGCGAAATCATAGATTTTTGCCCTTTACATATTTACTGACAATATTTTTAGTGCAGATATTTCTTAGCATACACATGCTTGTCACGTTTAATAGTTGATACAGCCGAATACTATCTAAGTTCCAAAGATATTGCATTAAATAAAACGGACAGCCTGATTTGTGCCATCAACTTATGTGAACTTTCGGAGCACACACAAATCCATAATCGGTTGCTGGAGCACTTAGAGGTATGCAGTTGCATAGGTTTCACAGCATTAAGCTCTTGTTTCAGCAACAGGGTTTTCTTCTTCACTCCTGTCGGCTGGTCGAAAAAATATTATCTCAATTAAGGGAGACTGGTTAATTATGTATCGCCGTTGAGACTCCTAACCACTTTTAAAAGACTTAACCCTAAAGGATGACCTGCAATAGCAATGAAACAGTCCGAAAGTT